ATAATAATAATAATAATAATAATAATAATAATAATAATAATGTTAATAATAATATAATAATAATAATAATAATAATAATAATAATAATAATAATTTTCCTCTCGCTAACCCAAAATCTCCCAAATAAAAAATTCTATTATAACAAGATCAATTTTCAAAACAAACAATAATAAGATAATTAATAACACTTGATAATAACCAATAATTTACTAACATAATAACAACTGATAATAACCCTAACAACATTTAACAGCTATAACAAACTGTAAGTCAAAGGTCCTTATCCAAGTTGTACTGTATACATACATGGTGGCGTCCCCTTGTGCTCTTAGTAAACACAGTCACTTAACCCTTCGATTCCTGGAGGGTTAAAACATCATACTCAAGGGTTTAAACCACCATACTCAAAGGGTTGATTCATCGCCCTCAGGGTTAAACCATCGTCCTCAGGGTTAAACCATCGTCCTCAAGGGTTTAAACTATCGCCCTCAGGGGTTAAACCATCGTCCTCAAGGAGTTAAACCATCGTCCATATTAAAGAGACTTAGTGTTAGTATAATTGGCAGTCAGTCATAACAACACTATTATAACACTGTAACACTCATGACACTGTAACACCTATGACACTGTAAAACTCATGACACTGTAACACTCATGACACTGTAACAATCTATGACACTGTAACACTCATGACACTGTAACACTCATGACACTGTAACACTCATGACACTAACACACTCTGCGACACTGTAACACTCATGACACTGTAACACCCATGACACTGTAACACTCCATGACACTAACACTGACACTGTAACACCATGACACGAACACTCATGACACTGTAACACTCATGACACTGTAACACTCATGACACTGTAACACCTATGACACTGTAACACCCATGACACTGTAACACTCATGACACGGTAACACTCATGACACTGTAACACTCATGACATTACACCTATGACACTAACACTCATGACACTGTAACACTCTCGACACGTAACACTCATGACACGGTAACACCTCGACACGGTAAACTCATGACACGGTAACACTCAGACACTGTAACACCTGCGACACTGTAACACCTATGACACTGTAACACTCATGACACTGTAACACTCATGACACTGTAACACTCATGACACTGTAACACCCATGAACACTGTAACACTCATGACACTGTAACACCCATTGCACTGTAACACTTACGACACTGTAACACCTATGACACTGTAACACCTTATGACACTGTAACACTCATGACACTGTAACACTCATGACACTGTAACACCTCGCGACACTGTAACACTCATGACACTGTAACACCTATGACACTGTAACACTCCATGACACTGTAACACCTATGACACTGTAACACTCATGACACTGTAACACTCATGACACTGTAACACTCATGACACTGTAACACTCATGACACTGTAACACTCATGACACTGTAACGCTCATGACACTGTAACACCCATGACACTGTAACACTCCATGACACTGTACACTCATGACACTGTAAATACCATGACACTGTAACACCCATGGCACTGTAACACTCATGGCACTGTAACACTCATGACACTGTAACGCCTATGACACTGTAACGCTCATGCACACTGCAACAAACACTCACTATGACACTGTAACACCTATGACACTGTAACACTCATGACACTGTAACACCTCATGACACTGTAACACCATGGACTGTAACACCACTCATGGCACTGTAACACTCATGACACTGTAACACCTATGACACTGTAACACTTCATGACACTGTTACACCTATGACACCGTAACACTCATGACACCGTAACACTCATGACACCTGTAACACTCATGACACCGTAACACTATGACACTGTAACACTCATGATACTGTAACACTATGATACTGTACACTCATGACACTGCAACACTCAGACACTGTAACACTATGACACTGTAATACCTGACACTGTAACACTCGACACTGTAACACCTATGACACTGTAACACATGACACTGTAATACTATGACACTGTAACACTATGACACTGTAACACTATGACAATGTAACACTCATGACACTGCAACACCCACGACACTGTAATACTCATGACACTGTAACACCTCGACACGTAACACCATGACAATGTAACACTCATGACACTGTAACACCTCATGACACTGTAACACCTGCGACACTGTAACACTCATGACACTGTAACACCTATGACACTGTAACACCTATGACACTGTACACCTATGACACTGCCACGACACTGTAACCTCATGACACTATAACACACATCACTGTAACACTCTGACACTAACACTAGACACTGTAACACCTGACACTAACACACATGACACTGTAACACAATGGCACTGTAACACGCATGCCACTAACACTCATGACACTGTAACACACATGACTGTAACACATGACACTGTAACACCTTGACACTGTAAACTCATGACACTGTAACACATGACACTGTAACACTTATGACACTGTAACACCATCGACACTGTAACACCTATGACACTGTAACACTTATGACACTGTAACGCCTGCGACACTGTAACGCTCATGACACTGTAACACTCATGACACTGTAACACTATGACACTGTAACACTTATGACACTGTGACACTCATGACACTGTAACACCTCATGACACTGCACCCCATGACACTGTAACACTCATGACACTGTAACACTCATAACACTGTAACACTCATAACACTGTAACACTCATAACACTGTAAAACTCATGACACTCTAACACAACACAAACACTCATGACACTGTAACACTCATGACACTGTAACACTATGACTCTGTAACACTCATGACACTGTAACACCTCATGACACTGTAACACTCATAACACTGTAACACTCATAACACTGTAACACTCATAACACTGTAAAACTCATGACACTGTAACACTCCATAACACTGTAAAACTCATGACACTGTAACACTATAACACTGTAAACTCATGACACTGTAACACCTATAACACTGTAAAACCATGACACTCTAACACAACACAAACACTATGACACTGTAACACTATATGAGAGAGAATGAGATGTTGTTTGTTTGTAATTTTGTGATGGTAGAAAACTTTATATAACAAGTGAAGTTATTACAGAAAAAAGTATATTTGCATAAGAATTATACTTCATAAAAAGTATATAATATAAAAGTATACTTACATAAAAAGTATATAATATAGAAAATACTTACATAAAATAGTATATAATATAGAAAGTATACTTACACAAGTATATAATATAAAAGTATACTTACATAAAAGTATTCATAAAAGATACTACATATACTCATAAAAGTATACTTATAAAAATATATAAAAAAAATATACTACATAGAGTATATATATCAGTATTAAAGTTTATCTTGATAAAATAAACTTGTATAATAAACTATACTGTATATCGTATGAAAAAGTATATAATATAAAATGTATATATTTCGTATAAAAAATATTTATCTCTTATTAAAAATATATTACCCCCCCCCCAAAAAAAAAAAAAAAAAGTTAATAATTTTTCCAGGTCACTTGTAAAACAAATCACGGTATTTTTCATATTTTTTTTCTATTTTAATTTAATCCTGAGTATATTTTTCATATACATAATGAAAAAGAAATTGTAATTGCAAACATATTCATTAATACTTGTTCTCTTCTTTCCTTCACTTCTTCTTTATTTTTTTTTTATTTTAATTTCTTCTGTTTTGTTTTTCATTCTTGTTTGCTTTATTCTTCTATCCCTCTTTTCTTTTTTATTCTTTTCTGCTTCATTCTTCTATCATCTCTTCTTTATCTTTTTTTTTTAATTGTAGTTTAATATTTTTCAATTTCTCCTTTCTTTTCATCAGTTTTTCTCTTCTTCTTTCGTGTCACTTTCTTTTTTCTTTTCATTCTGTTTCTTCTTTCTTCAATTTTCTTCATTTTTTCTCTTCTTTCATTTCGTTTTTTTTATTCTTTTACTTCTTTTTTATTCTCATTCAATTATTTTCCTTCGTTTTTATTCTCTTCTTTAATTATCAATCTTCTATCGTAATTTCTTTCTATTTCTTTCTTTCTTTTCATTGGGGTTAGGTTAGGTTAAGTTAGCATTAGAGTTGTTGATCTAAATATTTAGGTCAATATAAAAAGTCTAAATATCCCCCCCAGTTAGGTCAAATTCTCAGCCTGACCTTAACCAAATCGGGTCATTGTAGGTCATAGATGATATAGAGAGTAATTAAGATTATTATTAAAACGCACAGACTTTAGTTAAATAGCAGGATGTTATAATCTAGATGTTACTTTTAAATAAATAATTGTGTATTAGGTAATTTAGGAATGTTTTGGTTTAATTAAAGATGATCATTATTTTATATTGCGTATGGTAGGTGTGATGATTTGGTTGGTGGTGGTGATGTGGTTGGTGGGTGGGTATGGTAGGTGTGGTGATGTGGTTGGTGGGTGTGGCTAGTGTAGTAGATATGGTGGGTGGGTGGGGTGGGTATGGTAGGTGGGTATACTGTGTTGAGGTACCCGGGATCCAGAAGACTAGTTGTAATAAATAACAGGAATAACATCTAAGACACGTGAAAAGGTTGACGATTGGAGGAAGAAATCAGTGGGGGTCATGCCAGGTCACTAAACCTACCGACAGCAGCGAGGTCAACGAGGGTGAGGTGGTGGTGGAGGCCGGGGGCGGGGGCATCAACTGTCTTCCTCCGAGTGACAGCATCACACACTCGAGCCAACAGCCCGCCCATCTTCACGTCCGGGTCTGTTACCTTACAACACTCACTAACTACACCTCACTCAGGGTAACTGTCGGTGGCGACATGTCTGCAGTAATGTATCTCGGCCTGTGGCAGTATAGTGGTCAGGGAGGGTCTGCGGTCCTCTTTCAAATGCTAAATTCGCTTCACTGTAAACTATAGATATGATCCATATATCAGCCTCGGTCTGGGGTCAGTTTGTCCAGGTTATCATGGCAGGAGTGATGTCAGCCGGACTGTATCAGCACCAGCAGGTCAGGCACCGCGTGCCACGTGCTCGTCGTCAGCCACCATCAGCACACCGTGGGTGCGCCTCCCGCGGCCGCTACGCAACAACTGACCACCAGGTTGAACCTGTGGCCCGGGGCTCCGTCGTCTCCCCGCGCGGGCACCAGTCACAGCCCGAGCCTTCCGTGACGTAGTGCTCCCTCACCACCCCCAACCAATTGCACTCTGTTACCTGGTTTGCATGTTATCCAATCCGGCTGCCATTCTTGTGTTACATTACAGGTGATATACGGCCTGCTTCCCACCTGTCCCGAGGTATATCACTGCGAATTTATTAGTGGACCAGCTGTACAGTAAGTTTACCTTGTCACACCTGCCACACGCCGCCAGTGATATAGGGTGACATTACGTCGAGTGAGGACAGCAGACACAGGCAGCTCAACCCCGACAAAACAAGAGCGTCACCCGCCACAGTTGCTGTGGTATCAGCAGTGGTGCATGATGGTGCCACCTCCCCGCCCACCACCTGAGCAACACTCCAACACTTGGCATCACGTTGGGATGAGACTAACTAATTCGACATTGTTTGGATATACGTGATGAAAACTAGATAGGAGAGCGTCCAGAAGTAATCTTGTATAACGTTGAGCCAGTTAACCCACATCCCCAGAGACTCGTGGTGACGGAGTCTTGCTGGTGTGGAGGCTGCCATAAAAATCATCATTAGCCTCAAACTCTGATATTAAGACGGATCATCCTCGCCTCACGCTCACACCACTTGGTTGAGCAGTTGAAGGAAGAGTCAGTGAAGGAAGCATCATTGAAGGAAGGCTGAAGGAAACAAGAAAGGATGACGGGTCAAATTAATTTCCTACGTCAATTAACTTAGGTTTGAGATAGGTTAGGTTAGATTAGGTTGACGATAACTTAGGTCATGTTAGGTTAGGTTGAGAGATGCTAAGTAGGTTAGGGTCAAGTTAGGTTGGGTTAAGTTATGTTACGTTAAGGGCAGGTTTAAATTATGTTTGGGATAGGTTAGGTTAAGTTACGTTATGTTAGAAGCTAGGGATAAGTTAGATTAAGTTACGTTATGTTAGAAGCTAGGTAAGTTATATTAAGTTACGTTATGTTAGAAGCTAGGTAAGTTATATTAAGTTACGTTATGTTAGAAGCTAGGTAAGTTACATCAAGTTTAACTGTAGCACCTTTACAATAGGATCCTAAGTCTTTCAACAGTACACATTAACATAGATCTTTTATCAACGAACTCACGTGACCTAATTTACATACGACATACATAAAAGATCCTTAGAACTCATTTAGAACAATTTTCACTCAGGTAACAAGATCTTTTGACATCTCACTACCTTAAAACATTTATTATGCCGACCAAAATAAATTACTTTCCCCAACTTTCTCAAGGACCTGGACCAGGCTTAAGCTACTGTACATATGGTAATGTAAATAGAAACTGTGTCTAATAGAAGCTGCGTCTCATTGGCCTGACTATACCTTAGGGGCCAGTGGGAATATAGTGCAATGAATATCAAGTCCCTTCTTCTTTTGTACTGGAGGAGGCAATGGACTTGGCACTGTACTCAGCTTTCACCTTCCCAAACTGTATAATCAACTACTCAATCACACCTGAGCGGAAACTAAGGCACTGTACTCGACCACCTTCACCTCCCCAAACTGCATAATCAAGTACGCATTCACAGTTGGGTGGACTTTAGGGAGTGGGGGTGAAGGGAGGGGAGGGGAGCATAGAATAGTTTCCCCCCACCCCTTTAATTCTCTCGACGAAATAGACACGTAACCTTACATAGAGAGACTCAAACAAAGCCTTAATAAAGAGTTTCTTCGTCTCCCTGAATTAAGAGGTTTACAAAGCAGGGCTGGAGCGGCTTCTCTCGACTCATTCAAAGGAGGAATTTACATACTGGGAGTCACGGGCCGTCTACCTATATTTAACTACATATACTTAATGGTGTTTTGTTTAAGTTTAGTTGTTGTCTTTGTCTCTTTCTGTCTTTGTGTTTATCTCTCTCTCTCTCTCTCTCTCTCTCTCTCTCTCTCTCTCTCTCTCTCTCTCTCACCCCTGAGCATAATAAACCTGGCCTCCATTAGACTAACAGTGTCAGTCTTATTGATTTAGGCCACACTGAAGACCCAACACCGTGTAGGGTTGTTGTGTGTGTGTGTGTGTGTGTGTGAGCTGGATGGTTGGCTGGGGGTCACCTTGTTGTGATAAAATTGCTCGCATTGGAAGAGATTGGAGGAAACCAGTTGTGTGTGTGTTTGATGTTGAGAGAGAGAGAGAATACTTGGAATCTTAGAAGTAGTGTTAAATAATAAAATACCAGACTTCATCAGTAAAAAAAATCAAGTACTTCATGTTTAATCACTACGGCCATCTTACACCCTACCCTACCTTACCCTACCCTACCTACCTTCCTACCCTACCTTACCCTACCCTACCTTACCCTACCCTACCCCTACCCCTACCCCTACCCTACACCCTACCCTACCCCTACCCTACCCCTACCCCGAACCATCACGTTAATGGAACAAATGAAACTCAGCCTTGACACATCCCAGCTTCTGTCTGTTATTAGGTTGGGTTGGGTTAGGATGAGATTGGGGTTGGGATTAGGGATTGGGTTAGGTTAGCAGGGTTGGGTTGGAGTCGGAGTTAGGCAGGGTTAGATTAGGTTAGCTTAGTTTTGGTTGAGTTAGTTTAGCTTAGGTTAGGGTTAGGTCAGGTTAGGTTAGGTTAGGTCAGGTTAGGCAGGGTTAGATTAGGTTAGATTAGGTTAGCTTAGTTTAGGTTAGGTTAGTTTAGCTTAGGTCAGTTATATGTTCACATTGTCTATCCAAACCGACCAAATATCCCACAGGAAATACTCTTAAGGACTATTCATTGTTTACATAGATCCAAGTGAACAACGGAGAGAGAGAGAGAGTTTTGGATGTTTTTAGTAGTTTGGTATCTAATTTGCATATATGTTTACAGAGAGATGTTATATTAAGTAATGAAGTGAATGTTAGGTGATTAATGTTATTATTATTATTATTATTGTTATTATTATTATTATTATTATTTTTATTATTATTATTATCGTCTATAGTAATTTTATTATCTTAAACACTTTCATCATCATCATTTCCTCCTCCACTAGCACCATCACCACCTCCTCCTCCTCCACTAGCACCATCACCACCCCACCTCCTCCTCCACCAGCACCATCACCACCTCCTCCTCCTCCACTAGCACCATCACCCCACCTCCTCCTCCTCCACCAGCACCATCACCCTCCTCCTCCTCTCCCCACTCAGCACCATCACCACCCTCCCTCCACCACACCATCACCACCTCCTCCTCCTCCCACTCAGCACCATCACCACCTCCTTCCTCCACTAGCACCACTACCACCTCCTCCTCCTCCTCCACTAGCACCATCACCACCTCCTCCTCCTCCTCCACTAGCACCATCACACCTCCTCCTCCTCCACCACACCATCACCACCCTCCTCCTCCAACCAGCACCATCACCACCTCCTCCCTCCACCAGCACCATCACCACCTCCTCCTCCTCCTCCACCAGCACCATCACCACCTCCTCCCACTAGCACCATCACCACCTCCCTCCTCACACCATCACCACCCTCCCCACCAGCACCATCACCACCTCCTCCTCCTCCTCCACTCAGCACCATCACCACCTCCTCCTCCCTCCCACACATCCCACCCCTCCTCCACTCCACACCCCCTCCCAGCACCATCACCACCTCCTCCTCCTCCACCAGCATCCATCACCACCTCCTCCTCCTCCCACTAGCACCATCACCACCTCCTCCTCCTCCACTAGCACCATCACCATCACCACCATCATATAAACGTTCCTGACTGCACACACCCACCCTTATCCTTCCTCTTTCATTATATTCTCATCATTCTCTCATCACCATAGCTTCACCATGACTGGGGAAGGAGAACCACTCGACCAATTGTCCGAGAGAAGAGTTAACGAGCTGGGGTGGTGGGGGGGGGTAATTGTGGTAGTTTTTCTCACATATCTGAGATGTAAACTGCACACCAAAATTCTCTGAATACAGTGCATATTAGGTTTGAAGGTTAGTTGGCTAAGGTTAGTCAGTTAGTCTATTTTTTTTCTCTGGGATGCGTGACAAGGAGAGCAATATCACTACTGGAAGGTAAAAATGGTAATGACTCGGTGACTCGACCGTAAATACTTGAGTCAGTATCACACTTTTTCGGCCAATATTCCTAAAAGATTCTGATTTGTGAGAAGAAACCTAATTACCTCACTTAAACAACGATACACACACACACACACACACACACACACACACCATATAAAATATTAGCGTAAAATGGCGACGATATCGCACTAAGATTATATTATAAAGATATATTCATTCGTCTTCAAGTTACGGGGAAAAAAATTAACCCACGACTCGTTAAGAAACTGAACACTGAATTATTATGCATTAAGATATCAGGCTATATCATGCTCCCGACGAACTAAAGTTGGGTTACTAAACTTAATAAATAAACACTTTACAGATGAGGAAATGAACACAATCGAGTACAGTGCCTTTCTGGGTTACTTATTCAGTGTAAAGTATCCCAACTGCCCCCTCCTCCCCCCCTCTAATCGGACCGACAGCCAGACGTATAAGAGCCACTTCCAATAGATTTTTAGTATTTACGTTTCTCCACCGTTCATGAGATCGTAACCATGACAGCGTAACAATATTCGTGTCCATTATCATAAAGTTTATTGGAGGAGAATTGTTTGAGAGTAAATATTGTCTGTAAGGATGTATGTCTTTTTAATGTTATCCCGGGTGAGATAAGAGAGTTAATGGTGTCCTCTGATGTTGGTTATGTACCCCAGTCGTTCAGGGAAAGGGTGGTGGGAGTGTGTGTCTGTGTGTTCGTAAGTGCGTCCGTGTGTCTGTGTATCTGTGTGTTCGTAAGTGCGTCCGTGTGTCTGTTGCGTCCGTGAGTTAAGCGTTAGTGGGTCCGTTCGTGTGTCAGTGCATCCGGCTTTGTGTCTGTTCGTCCGTCCGTCCGTCCGTGTGTCAGTGTTCGCGACCATGAGTCAAAGCGTCAGTGGGTCCGTCCGGGAGTTGTCAACACGATACCTGGAGCTCACCACAACACCCT